TAATAGAAAACTCTATGTCTCGGCAGATGTTACATTTGTTGAAAATAAACCCTATTTCATCACTCCTTATCTTCAGGGAGAGTTAGATACACTTGGAAATAAGGAGTTAAAATTTCACCTTTTAGAGTTGTCCAAATCTGAGTCATCCAAACCTGAATTCGAGAGTCAATTCCTCAATCTGATGTGGTAGAAGGAAAAAAAGAAGAAGATCGTAAAATCTATGACTGGTTCCGATTTGACCAAGTGTATATAAGGAAAGAAGATCCCATTGTAGTTACAAGGCAAGACCAATCCTCTGAACCAAGTTTCGGGAATGACGTAACAATGAGCGAATCAAATCTGAATTCTACACCACCGACTGACCATTCTTCCAGCACTAAATCACCTTGTCATGAGCCTCTTAGCCTTGACCAGGACCTACATCTACCTGTTGCTGTAAGGAAAAAAACCCGAGAATGCACCAAAAGACCCCTATACCCATTGTCTCACTTTGTGTCTTTTGAGAAGTTTTTCCCAAACCATCAAAACTTCCTTTCCACCTTAAACATAGTCTCTATTCCTAATTTATTGTCTGAAGCATTATCAAAGAAAGAATGGAGACTTGCTATGGAAGTACAAATGGATGCATTAGAGAAGAATGAGACCTAGGAATTAGTTAAGTTACCAAAGAACAAGAAAGTAGTGGGCTGTAAGTGGGTGTATGCAGTAAAGTTTAAGACAGATGGGTCCCTAGAACGCTATAAGGCGAGATTAGTCATGAAAAGATACACATAGACATATGGAGTAGATTATAGGGAAACGTTTGCTCCAGTAGCAAAGATGAATATAGTAAGAATTCCGCTATCTTTGGCTGTTAATTTTGATTGAGAATTGTAGCAGTACGATGTGAAGAATGCTTTTCTTCATGGAAAATTAGAAGAGGAGATTTATATGAGCATTCCACCGGGATTTAGTGGGATTGACAAGAACAAGGTTTGTTCGTTAAAAAAGACATTATATGGGCTGAAACAATCCCCACGTGCTTGGTTTGGATGATTTGCCAAGGTAATGATAGCTAATGGTTACAAGCAAAATCAAGGAGATCATACTCTGTTCATCAAGCATTCAGTCTTCGAGGAAGTTACTGTTTTGATTGTATACGTGGATGACATTATAGTGACAAGAAACGATGAAGTAGAGAAAAAAAATTTGAAGTGGTGCCTAGTCAAGGAATTTGAAATAAAGGATTTAGGAAAATTGAAGTATTTTCTAGAAATTGAAGTGGCTCGATCAAGGCAGGAAATTTTTATTTTTCAACAGAAGTATGTTATGGATCTGCTCAAGGAAACAGGCATGACAGCGAGCAAACCAGTTGGAACTCCTATTGAACAGAACCACAAATTAAGTGAGGCTTATGGAGATAAAGTAGTGGACTGAGAGATGTACCAAAAACTTGTTGGGAAATTCATTTATCTCGCACATACTAGGCCAGATGTAGCTTATTCAGTCAGTGTTATTAGTCAGTTTATGCATGATCCTAGAGGAGTTCATCTACAAGCAGTTTATCAAGTGCTTCATTACTTAAAGGCATATCCAGGGAAGGAAATTTTATTCAAAAGGGTCCTGGGATTGATCTGGCAATTACACAGATGCAGACTTTGCAGGGTCTCTAGTCGACAAGCGATCAACTTTGGGATATTGTACATTTCTTGGAGGAAACTTAATATCCTGGAGAAGCAAGAAACAAAGTGTGGTAGCAAGGTCAAGCGCTGAAGCAGAATTTAGAGCTATGGCAACAGGGATATGTGAATTATTGTGGGTTAAAATTATCCTAGAAGACTTGAGGATTCAATGGAGCAAACCGATGAAGCTATACTGTGATAACAAATCTGCTATAAGTATAGCTCACAACCCAGTGCAATATGATCGGACGAAGTACATAGAGATAGATAGGCACTTTATTAAAGAGAAGCTAGAAAATGAACTGATTTGTACTCTGTATGTTCCGACAGGACTTCAACTTGCAGATGTGATGACAAGGGACTGTGTAGCAATATGTTTCATGAGAGTGTTGTCAAGTTGGGAATGGACGATCTATATTCACCAGCTTGAGGGGGAGTGTAGGAATCTTGAATGAGTAATCTTAGGAGATATTTTAGGTAAATTGAATGAGTAATCTTAGGAGATATTTTAAGTAAATTAGTGGAGGAAATCAGGGTGAATAAGTTGTCTCTAAAATTAAGAGAATTAAGTGTAGACTTTCCTTATTTAGTATACCAGAAAATTATATATATAAATTAGAATGAATTGTAGTTAATATACAGCATTAATAAAATCTCTTTGATTCTGTTACAACAATTACTTGATTCCCATGTAGTCCAAACTAGTTTTTTGTATAATATGACTCTTTTTTAATATTTGTTGAATATTTGGTATGTAATAATTGAAGCCTTCTGGTGATATACTTGTTTACTAGATTCCTTGCCACTTATATGAATGCGGCGTTTTCACAACTTCCCCTAATTATTTTGGCAAAACAAATAATTTGCATACTTATTTGAGATTGCATATTACTGTGAAATATATGAAAATCGATACGTTGACCTATTTGTATCAACTGGTTGAAAAAGTGAAAAAAAAATTTTGCTATAGTAAAGTTTATAAAAAACTTATATAGTAAAATTTTTTTACAACTTCTACAGTGATCTACAGTAAAGTTTTAGACAAATTTCTAAAAAACTTAGATTCCAAACGGGGCCTTAATCTGGAAGTCATTGCTGAGTCATTTTGTTTTGGTCATAGGGATTGAATCTTGCTTATGAGGAAATAATTCCTAAGGCAGTTGAAAGGCATTGCTGTAGGCATATATGCAGCAATTTCAAGAGTCAATTTCCATGTATCTTACTTAGCAATTTTTTCTAAAAGGCAACTAAAAGCTATGATTCAATAGGACAAAATGATGCAATAGCAAGTATTAAAAACATTAACATAAATGCTTGGAAATATATGAATAAAACCCCAAGAATTGCCTCGTGTAGACTCGTATTCTCAACTGAGTTGAAGTGTGACCATGTCACAAATAATTTTACCGAGTCTTTTAATGCTTGGATTGATGATCTAAAAGGAAAGACCATATTCACTTTGGTTGATGGTTTAAGAAGAAAGTTCAAGAAAAAAAAATGCACAAAAGGTACCAGAAAGGGTGCACCTTGACTGGTTACATTACTCTCAGAATTGTTGAGAAACTAAAAGAAATTGGCCAAGTATCAAGAAAATGTGAGATGCATATGGCTAGTGAAAACACATTCGAGATTGGTGATATGGACAAAACCTACATAGTCAACTTGAGCCAAAGAATTTGTGATTGTGGTGCTTTTCAACTTTTTGGAATTCCATGCAAGTATGCAGCATTAGGAGTTATATACATAGGAGAGAAAAACTAGAGAACTACTATGAAGCTTGGTTCACCAAAGACATGTACTTAAAAACTTGTTTCCACATGATTCATCCCATTCCTGATGTGAAAAGATGGCCTCCTATGCCTGAAATGATGCCAACAACTATGTTGCCACCACTTCTGAGAAGAGCTCCTAGTAGACCAAAAGTAAATAGAAGAAGAGAAACTGATAAAACTGCTTGCACAGCATAGGCAAAGAGGTCAAGCACTCTTAAGTGTGGAAATTGTGGAACTTTTTGTCACAATAAGAGTACTTGCAAAGGAGCACCTATGCAGAAAAGGAATAGCAACAATACTCCTGCTGAACAGGTATACATTGGCCAAAATATGGTAATAACAGTTGTATCCTAACTATTACTTACAACTATACTGAATTTGGAATCACGGATAGCAAACAGAAAAGGCAGATGAGGCAAAGGAATGGCTAATGCAGGCTTGTCAGCAGCTGTTCTCTAGGTAAATTGCAGTTATCATAATCATTCCTCCCCTACTTGAGTTATATATAGCAAATCTCATTGCAACTTACATCTCATGTTTTAGGATCATGCACAAGGAAATATACCTGTTGTACATTCCAATCAAGGGAGCAATCAAAGTCCTCTAAGTCATAATGGAGCAATACATGTTCAAGTGAATGTGCAAACTACTACAACTACTCATGCTAATAGAAAGGTATGCCAATGATCTGCTATCCCATATTTTTGTCAATAACCTAACTAGTAGCTACTATTTTTTGTCTAATGTAGTTTATGTCTCAAATGTAATAGAAAGAAAGGCCTTTTGGACACAATCCTGCAAGTCCTGCAGCAAGAGTTGGTGGTAGGACCAAAAAATCCAAGTTTGCTCTAACTAATCCTGTTGTTCCAATTTCACCGCTATTACATCTCAAAATGCTAATTTGTTAGCATAAACGCATCTACAAATTAGCATCCCAAAAATTAGTAGTACCAGTAGTTTCAGCATGCTGTTTTGACAAGTTTGCTAAATTCCAGTTGTTAGTTATGTCTACTTGAACCTCTTTTGTTAATGCTTTTGTTAATGTCTTCTTACTTACAGTCATTAAGAACTGTGGAATTGCAATCCTCACCATTTGCATATAGTGTTTGATGTAGATGGTGTTTTGTACTATTGGATTGTAGTGATGCACACGTGGTCTTCTTACTGATATGCTTAAGACATTTTAGCTAATGTAGTGTCCTTATTTGATCTTTAATTTCGTTTGCTTTTCATACATAACTATTTGCAAACTTGGCATAGTGGATGACTAAGAAATAATGTAGCTGTTCATTACTTCACTCTGAAATCTAAAAAGCTGTGTACATGGGTTTACATTGGTGCTTAAAAGAATTCCAACTAACTTAGCCTTTTGGTATGAATCTCTTATCACCAGAAAGGGCATCATTTAGTTTGTACAATCTTGCAGTAGATTAACATGAGTTCATTGAATTGATTTTATAATAGTGTGAGGTTTATAGCTAATAAATATTTGAATGAAAATAAATATAGCTATTAGTGTGAAGTTTATGATGATCAGCACATTCCCAAAGGCTCTTGGTTTCAGAAATTACTTTGGCTCTTGCATTGGCCCCTCAACTTGCTTGACTAGAATGCCATCTCGGTTTCTACTTTTAACTAGTCCTCTCTTTGCATTGAGGTTGCTTCTTTTGCTATTTACTTCTTCTTTTTCACCTCCATCATACCATTCAAAATACCTGCACTTTGCACAACGGAAATACAACTTGTCCAGATTCTTTTCACTCTCTGATATCATCACGGTTGCCTTGCGATTACAGTGGCAAAACTTGTTTTCAATGGAGAAAGATGTGAGTGAATTCCATGATTCTCCCCTATGGCTTGAAGAGGCCATAGTTGCAGGTAAAACTTTTAACTCTGAGCTCTAAACACAGCACAACAAATTAACTTTGTTAGCACTCCAAAACTTGTAGCAAAGAATGATAATAGGTTGAGGGTGTAGAGGTAGTTAAGCTGCTTTATATACTATTGCTACTGAAACAAAAATTTGGCCATTGCAATTTGCAGCTAGCCGTTGCAATTGCTGCCAAATAACTGTTACAAGGCAAATCTTGTACTTACAAGTTTTTGTATTGCACTTACACCCCCTCAACTTTAGTAATCATTCTAATCATTTAATCTTCTTTTAATCTTCTACTAATACAAGGAGAAAAAGGGTATCCATGGAATAAAAATACCTTCTCACACATGAAAATAGTATTGTAATATGATTTGGATTGCATTGTTACCAAAAACTCAAAAGCAAGGGAGTCAGTGAAATTTTGAGAACCTCAAGGGATGTTAGTGAAAGTGTCAAAAACCTCCCCTGAGATTTCTGAAATTATCCCTAAAAAGTAATATTAGGGCACGCCAACTAATGATGTCATTTACTAGTGAATTTGGTTTGAGTATCTTGTTCTTTTTTTATTTTCTATTTTTTCAAAGAATGAATTATAAATGGAAGAAAAAAGACAATAACGGAAAATGAAACGTGGAGGGTTAAATTTTCCTGCAAACAAAATGAAGCACAACCCTTCAATTTGGAATGGTCTTATTACCTTGTTCATTGGGATGATCGCACCACTTTATTTAATTTTATAGGATAATCACATATATATACATTGTAAGAACACGAACCCCTGCATTTTGCACAATGGATTGATTCCCCAGTCCATTTGTATTTTCGCTGATCCGCATGTGCCAATTTAGCATAATATCATTTCATATCTTAATCCTATTCTACCGGTTAGCTAAAGATATTTAATCGAGTTAGATATACATGGTTAACAAAGAAAATAATACAGCTTATGTCCAAATTAAAAGGGAGATAGGTTCATTAGTTAAGAATTAAAAGGGAGACAGGTTCATTAGTTAAGTTCAAAACTTGAATTGGTTTAAGTTCAAAGTTGAACTTAGTTTACACGTAAATGACTAAATGGTTGGTTGAAGTTCAGGTACCTGTTAATTTAACCAACTAAACACATATGCAGGTAGGTTTGGGTAACTGCCCTTTTGAAAATTGAAAAAGATACTGAACCTATTTTCCAATTAGGTTGTGGTAACTTAATTATTTGAAAATTGCAGGTTGCTTATTCTGTTTTTGATTTGGAATAGTTTGATTTTCTCAATTATCCACTTTTTTAGTTTTTTTTTTTTAACTCTCCTAGGGTAAACACTAGTTTAGTACGTCAAATATGGTTTGAGTTGGATATATTTGGGAAATTCCAATATTTTATATCATAGAGTAGAGTTTTTAATGCATCGAACTGCTTGTGTATATGTTTCTATTTGCTTCATTCAAGTTCGGAAAAGACTCGATTATATAATAAATAATCGAGTTCAAATATAATGTTAGACACATTTAAAAATCAAACTGTACATGAACTTGTTCGCAAACTGCTCGAATAGATTCATGAATACATATATAATAAATATAAAAACCTTATACATGGTTAAATATGGGCATATACACCTTGTATTTTTCTCTTAAAAAAGTAATTATACACAACATTATTATTATTATTATTATTATTATTATTATTATTTATTTTCGAAAACAAAACCAATTTAATTACATCTATGCTAAACAATGTATGAGAAATTTGTGGTTTCAAGTGAAGGTGTTGGATATTCCTTTCACGAGATTACACAATTTGAAATGTCCTTGATGTCAAATTTCATCATAAACTCAAAACCCGCAGCCAAAACCTATAACCCTTTATGCAATTGGAAATCAATAAGAGAAAAAACCACTACCTCATTCTCCCGATGATCATCATGATGGAGACGCCAAACTGCAAATGCAACATCATTGTTGGAATTTTGCTTGAAAAAGAAGAGAAGAAAAATCCCAAAAATCCTTGAACAGATATTTGATTTAGTAAAAAGGAAAGAAGTGTTAACATCTAAAATCTTGCCTCTTATACGTTATCTTGATGTCATTTTTGGAGGACTTCCTTACCAAGGCAGTGGTGGCTATAATTGCTATCGCAACATTGACTATCCATTTACAAAATGAAATCAACCAATTCTGATTCTTGTGGACTTAGTGGAATGCTTAAAACCCAAATCTGCCTTTGTGAAAATTGTGGTTGACATCTTGAGGCTTGATAGAGTTTCTACAGGAAGATACGCATTAGTGCATATGAAAAACCATGGCTAACAAAATAAACCCCATTAATACACCCAATTATCCTACTACCTCTGAAAGTTTGGGCAGACCCAATTGATTATGGGTTCACTTAAATTGTATTGCCTATAATCCAATTATCTTGGCCTGGTTATGTTTTTGACTGGATATTCTGTAGGTAGAATACTTTTTTCTTGTCCTTTACTTTTCCTTCTCTTTCTTTCTGTTTTTTTCCCCCTTTTTCTTTTCATTTCCTCCATCTTCTTCTTCCTCTGGTTGAGAAGATTGCCACTGCTCGCCAGCAGCATCGTTGACTAGCATTGACTTTTTTTGTTGTTGTTGTTGTCAAATACCATACACGGAGAAGGAATGTCAACCCTTATTTTAGTAATTAAACTAAGTAAATGAATGAAGAGAGAAGTATAAACGTAACTTGGGATGATTTTACATGAATCAACTCATTTTTGCATGCTAAAATATAAATTTCTTTTTCTCAAATTCTTGCTTGAAAGCAACCCACATGCATCCCAACAATGGTGGGTCTGCCCCCGTTACATAATAGTTTAAATAAATCATCTCATTATTTACAGTGAATGACACCCAATCTTCAAATCCAAAATAGCTTAAAGATCTTAGCAACGACCGATTTTAAAGTCATATCACAGAACTTACTCCATTGTAGGAAAAGTTTGTGCCTTCACTGGTGCCGTACGTCACCAATTATTTCTTGAATTCTTTATTGACTAAATTATATGTTAACCTCCTTAAATTTGTTACTTCATAGTTTGACCCCCTAAACTTTTTGTTTCGGTTTATTTTGCGTTTTCCCATCCTTGCAAAGTACCCAGAGAGGCTGCAAACCATTGAATCTCATGTTTAGGACCTTCAAAAATTTTGCTTTCTTTTTTTATGTGGAGTACATTTTCAAGTGAGAGATTACCTTCATTTCTACTTCCTATGCATGATTTAGTTATGTGATATTAGCCTTTATCAGAATTAAAGCAACATTGTTGCTTATGATGAAGGCCAAACTCACGAACTTGATAAAGGTATTTTTCTCTAGGATTCAATCTTCGACCTTCCAACCATTACAAACCATGAAACTTGTAAGGAAATGGCATAAGATAAGCCTCCAGAGACTGATTATATTCATGAGATTGAGTGAATACGAGAGCATAGGTCCCATCAACTATTCAAATTATAGAAGCAACAGAACAAGTCTTATATGATATAGGCTCTATGGGTTTAATAAGAATAATTACCTTGGAATCACTTATAAAAATGATACAAATTTTATACACCTCCATTGGGTTGATTGGAGGAGATAAGAATGCTTTATGGTGGGATGAAACTGTGCCACCATATTTTTTTTGTATTGAGGTGTTGGTAGGATAGTAAAGGACGTGGATAAATTAATTCTAGATAAAGTCAACAACTTAGAAGAATTTTGACAAGTAATTATTGCCTTCAAAAATTTTCTGTGACAATTATAAAGATGTCAAGAAATTTTTTTAGAAAATATATTTTAATACATGGTGTAATTTAAGTTGCATTGAAAATTAATAGAATCTCTTCATACATGTGGTTTGTAATGTAAATCCTACTTATAAAAAAATTATAAATAAGTCAGAACTAAAAAACTTAATAAAAAATGATCTATATATATATATATATATATATATATATATATATATATATTCTATGTTTTCTTTAAAAACATCTTTCATTATACTAGGTAATAATGGTTGTACATCTACAAAATTACCAATTATTGCATTTGTAACTACTCTTATTTTCATATTTTTACTTTTTAACCTTATTTTATTTTTTTATTGTTGTTGTAAGCTTCATAAATAAGATAACATAAGGATAGTATTGGAACAAAATTTGTATCTTTCTTGCATTTTTTGTATTGAGGTGTTGGTAGGATAGTAAAGGACGTGGATAAATTAACTCTAGATAAAGCCAACAACTTAGAAGAATTTTGACAAGTAATTATTGCCTTCAAAAATTTTCTGTGACAATTATAAAGATCTCAAGAAATTTTTTTAGAAAATATATTTTAATACATGATGTAGTTTAAGTTGCATTGAAAATTAATACAATCTCTTCATACATGTGGTTTGTAATGTAAATCCTACTTATAAAAAAATTATAAATAAGTCAGAACTAAAAAACTTAATAAAAAATGATCTATATATATATATATATATATATATTCTATGTTTTCTTTAAAAACATCGTTCATTATACTAGGTAATAATGGTCGTACATCTACAAAATTACCAATTATTGCATTTATAACTACTCATATTTTCATATTTTTACTTTTTAACCTTATTTTATTTTTTTATTGCTGTTGTAAGCTTCATAAATAAGATAACATAAGGATAGTATTGGAACAAAATTTGTATCTTTCTTGCATTTTCTCCAAAGGAGCTAAATGTGACAAAAATATCAATCTAAAAGAGGTAGATGAGATTTTAAAATTTTAAGGGGTGCTAAATTAAATTATGAGAAACATCAGGGGAGATTTCTGAAATTATCCCATTCATAAAATACTACTTTTAGCATATATTCAGGCTCAATAGTCAATACTCCTTTAGGCCTCGACTGCCTGTTGCTCCACAGGGAAGAATGCGCTCCCAGAGGAGCACTTTATCCTCCATCTATAGATCCAAAATGCAGGATTTGGTTCCAAAAGTTGGTTTCCAGAAAGGTAGCGACTCATCAAGCCCTTTTTTGGCTGGTGCCATTCTACTTACTAGTGCTAGTGATGTGCTATATCCAACAAAAGGTATAGCTGGGCCAGATCATCGGGCCATCACCTCAAGAATCTCGACTTGGCCCCGTTAAAGTTGTTGTCGTGATCCCTTGGGTAATTGCTTGGAAGATGAGTCTCGTGAACTTTACTTGTCATCAGCTAGCCACCTTGGTTAGAGATGCCCTAGTTGCATCTATCAAATTTAGTTATACTAGCATATTGACCGTGTTATGCACAATTTGAGGCAAAAGAAAAAAAATTTCTCATAACTTTCAATTTTGCTTTATACTTTTAAAATGTACTTATATTTGTATCTTCAACATAAAAGCACCAGGTTTAGTTATATGTGATATAAATTTGGATTGAATGGTGTCAATTTTTTTTTAAAAAAAAGTTTATAGTTTATTCCATATTCACCCTCCACATTGAAAAGTAAAATTGGAAGCAAAAGAAAAAAACTCATAACGTGCAATTTGGTTTAACATTTTTAGAATACATATATTTAACTTAACCTCCCATATTATGAAAACTATACAAAATCAAGAATTGACCACAATGGTTGCAAATATTGGCATATAGAAATGCAAATAAAAAACTAATAGAAATATCTTATAATATCCTCGACAACTACAAAAAAATAATAAAAAATATTTAGAATATAAAAATGACATGGTAGTGTTATATATTTACATATGAAGAATATGATAAAAAATGCACAAAATAGTCAATAACACCCAAGGTTATTTGTAGTGGTTGGCTTTTACACTCTTATTCAAACCTAATTAATTAGTATCGAATTTAGATAAGATATATACAAATTGAGTAGATATAGTTTACAGTGAAATGTTCTATATTTTTCTCTTAAACTATATTGTTATCTTTTTCTCTATTTTTGGTAAGACTAGCATTTTTTTAAATTTTATTAAAAATAAAAATTTTAAATAAAATTTTCCACTTTGAAGGATGGTTAGGACTTTGTTTTAATTTAGTGATTTCATAATTTAGGTTTCAGGAATATTATTGATTTTTAAATCCATTACTAATGAATATTATTTCTTTTTTATATATATATAGTTTGTCCTTTTAGTTAGGATTACTAGTTTGAAAGGTAAAATATTATAATTTGCTATTTTACTTTTAGTAGGACTTATGATGTTTCATCTATATTTGCCTTTAATGAATAAACTTCAAACCAAATTTGTATATTAGTGGAGTAACTTTTTATATTTAAATTCAAAAGGAATGACGGAATATTTAATAATTAAAAATCCAAAAATCTAAAATAAAAATAAAAAAAGAATATGGAGTTGGAAGCATTATGATTTTACCATCATCAAAATCCAATTTTGCATCCTTTTCACCTTCCTTGTTTTTCATCTTTTATTCATTAACTTTGAGGCATCCAAAACTTCAAATGAAGTGTTGGGCTTAGACGCCATACCACTTTATTTATTTTTTTAAATTTTTAGTAAAAGAGAAGTGAGACTTAAGAAATGCGAGAGAGATTTGAAACGAGAATCTAATTCCTGATACTTCAACTTTAACGAGATGATCAAAATCTCCTCGGTAGCTGCCATACCACTTACTAGTGCTAGCTAGTGTTGTGGTATATCCACTAAGGGTATGGCTGGGTAAGAACATCGGGCCATCACCTCAAGAAGCTCGACTTGATCCCTTGTTGTGGTGGGCCGTTGGGCAATTGCTTGGAAGCTCAGTCCCCTGAACCATATTGGTCATGCTAGTAGGCCCCATTGCCAAATAACTCCCCTTACCCTGTCCCGTCCTCGGCCCCCTCCCAGCCGGCATCCGCCCTCCTTGCCACCTTTATTAGCCAGTCACCACAGTTAGAGGTGCTCGAGTTTCATCTAGCAATTAGTTATACTATAAATACAGCATTGTAGCTCATGCTATGCACGGGTTTACATTTCAACATTTAAATTGAAGAGTTAAAATTTGAAGCGAGTAAAATTTTTTTCATAACTTATAATATAGTTTTACACTTTTAAAATATACTTATATTTATATCTTTAAAATAAAAGCACTAGGTTCAGTCATTTGTGGTATAAAATTGGGTTGAATGGTGTCAACCTTTCTTTTGAAAATGTTTATAGTTGATTATGTATTCATCCTCCAAATTGAAAGGTAAAATTGAGAGGTAAAATTTGAGGTAAAAGAGGAAAAAAAAAAACCATAACATGCAATTTGGTTTAACCTTTTTAGAATATATTTAACTTAACCTCTCACAATAAGAAAACTATACAAATTGGTCACAGTGGTTGCAAATATTCGCACATAGAATGAAAATAAAAAAACGGAGAGTAATATCTTATAATTTCCCTTACAACTACCAAAAAATAATAAAAAAGATTTAGACTATAAGAATGACATAGGAGTGTTGCATATTTACATATGAAGAAGACGATAAAAAATACACAAAATAGTCAATAACACCCAAGGTTATTTTAGTGATTGGGTTTTACACTCTTATTCAAACCTAATTGTGTTGAATTTAGATCAAATATATACAAATTGAATTGATATAGTTTACGGTGAAATGTTCTATATCTTTCTCTTAAACTAATATTTTTACATTTTTTTAAAATTTTTGATAAGACTGGTAGTGTTTTGCTTTTACTTTTATCAAAAATAAAAAAATTTAAATAAAAATTTTCACTTTGAGGGACCGATAGGACTTTGCTTTTGATTTAGTGATTTCATAATTTAGGTTTCAGGTATAGTACATTATTGATTTTTTAAATCCATAACTAATGAATATCCCTTTTTTTATTTTCTATATAGTTTGTCATTTTTGTTAGCATCACTAATTTGAAGGCTGA